AACCATAACTAAGTTTTTGAGCATGTACCCTAATGGGAACATCATATGTTAAAAATGGCTAGATATGTCACAGAGACAGAGATGAGAAAAATGCAACACGTCTGGATAGAAAGCGTGGAATGAGAGAGTTCAGAGAATCCTAATCCAGAGGATAATGATGATAAACAGCATCCTTGTGTTGAAACTCTATTTTATCAAAACCATGGTATCGAACAAACCAGTACTTCACGAACAAATACGCATTGTTCCTAATATTGGACTCGGAGCCCAAGGAATTTGACATCCACTGTCCATCTACTCAGCCAGTGATCCATTGTTGTTGTGACCTAGTCAGATGCCATGTGGACACGCAATTTAATTAAACACAATGGAAAGGTGGGCAACATCCTTTTTTGATTTCGAATGGATTAACCATCAACCATACAAATTGTAAGACACGTGGAGGAAAGTAAATTTCCTCAAGCAAAGATTCGGTAGAGATAATACAAGCTATGCAAGCTTTAATGGCTACTTCTAATGGTCAAACTAGTAATCAAGTGCATGAAAGAACCACCCACTCAGTCTTGGACGACCCATTTTCCGAGGCCATAAGCAGGCTCAAAATGCCTGCAATATTCAAACCAGTGAAGCCATGCCAAGTGGTTTGGGGGAAATTTTGGACCCTGAGTTACATAGAAAACTGGTCATTAAGAATGCGTTCTCAAAATCCACGTTCATAGAGCCATTACTGGCACTAGGGGGTACCAATAATTATCCTTATTCGAATTATGACCGCCGGGGGTTGGAAAGTTTTCCCACACAATATAGAAGATTACAACGCCTTTCTTACGTACCTTTCGTGAGGTCCCTTGCAAGATCAGGCTACAAGAGTTGTTACCCAGCAGCCCCCAATAGCAACCTTGTAACCACAAGGGACAACCAGTCTCCGAATGTACCCTTATGGACCAAGAGGACTCACAAGCACAAGTTTGTCCACCAAATCTTGTTTGTCTCCCTAGTTAGTGAATTCAGCAGGACAAAATATGGGTCCCTAAGGGACTAAATTGGCTGTATATAGTTAGGGAGATGTGTGGACCAATGGCTTCGGGGTTGTCGCAAACTCTGTTTGTACAAGAAAAACATAACCTAGGAAATGGCGTCTATACAGGTACTGAATACCCAAGGGTTTTCAGATTACCAGATTTTGTCCTTTTTTATGGGAACGGAACAATCAACTAGTAGAGGCATATTGCTAGGTCTTGTCTGCTCTAATGTGGTGAATTTATCCAATCATGACTAATATGATAATTTGAGAACTATTCCCAAACCTCTAACTGGGGGTAGCATTTGTATGTACTATTAATTAACCTTCCACCTGGCTCTATCCAGACTGGTCAAAAAATACAAGAGGCATTTTCTACCCAATTCTTCCAATCTGCAGAAGTTTCTCAATGGCTAGACTTGGACAAATTGAGGTCAAAGGCCTGAATGAAGAAGGTTACTCAGTTATTGCCAAGATTTAAAGGTGCTTCGAAATAAATGTAGAATAATTCTTTGCCAGAGCCAGAATTTCGTAAGATGGTCAAAATGGCTTTAGAGTTTCAGGCTTCGAAAGAAGTTTGACTCAACAAGGTTCAGGGACTTAGTGGAACTGACTTACAAAGTATCTCGATATGAGCATTAATAGAAGAGTAAGCAAGATCGAAATAATGCATCATATTAAGACATACTACAATAGACTAAACTATGAGATTGATGCAGCATGAGATTTGTAGGGGAAAGAGCCCATGATCTGTTGAAGCATTAATATCTATAAGGATACGATAATTGATCCAGCCGTTTTAAATAGAAAGAATCTCCACATGAAAGTAATTCTTTCGATTTAACTAAGGCAGATGAAATTTTTGATCATTGCTTGCTCGCGGACCAACTTCCTTAAGTTACACAAAGGGGTTAAAATCCATCTTCCTGCTACTCAGATCTCATAACAACCAAATATTAACTGCCACGTGTACGATCAGGATCGAAGACTTGAATGGTCTTCCCATATTACCCTTACTTTGCCACGCGTTGAATTGTAACTGGCTTGCACAAAATATGCAACCAACAATAAGTTATTAATTTATTTGTTTTAAATGAATAATAAATTATATAGATTCTTTTATTGATTATTTCAATTTAGAATATTAACAAAATACAATAATAAAACAAAAATGATTTTTAACAAATCTTTAATTTAAGCCCTAAAAAGTAAGTATATATATTTTTTGTTTTTTTTTTACTTTATTTTATAATTAAGATGATATAAAGTTATAATTAATATTTTATAAATGGTTGGCCCGAGCCAGCCTAGGCTACAACTCTTTATCCCAACTGTAGCCTGAATATTAAATAGATACAAAATTTCAACCAATCCCAACCCTATGAACAAAATAATTTTCCAAACCTTAAAAATATTACACTGAGTTGGGTGGATTGGGCGGCCCATTAGGGCGATGGCCACCCTTTCATTGGGAGGGTGTTATTGAAAATGCATTTGAAATAATTTTTTTACAAAATTATTTATTAAGTTCTATTTTGTTAATTGAATTTTATTTAGTAGCATTATATTGAGAGGATTGATTTATGTGTTAAAATTATTGTAGGTTTTAGTATTAAAGTAAAATTTATTGATTTTTTAAAATTATTTTGATATACTTTAAACCACATCAGTTTTCTTAGCCAACTCTCAGAACATGTTCAATTGCCAATTAAAATTAATAATATATTACCAATTAATTGGTCAGCATTGGAATTTTTGGAATCAAAATTAAATTGATCTTTTAATTTTTTTGATTGATTAAAAAAATAGGTAAAGAAGGCCAATACTGCATGACTACTTACCAAGTCAAACATAAAAGTTTTAGACCATCCCGATAATGTAGAATGCTATATCTACAAATACTCTTTCAAGATAGGCTTGCCTCCACCAATTAAATTTTGTAAACTTTTATCTCATGTAACTATTTAGATCAAAGTCAAAACACATTCGTATTTTTTAAATATTTTAACAGTACACCTATCAAGTTTACACACCATTAGTTACTCAACAAATATAGTAATTGTGCATACCAAAGCCTGCACTATATGAAGTGGATTGGAGCTCTGCAGCTCGAATGGGCTATCCAAGATCAGGAGATCTGCATAACAAGGCATCGTCAGGGTTGCCCGGTTAGCGTTGGCCGGAAAACCCCTTCGGCGTGAGAATGAGTGATCGGAGAAGATAAAGAGCTCTCTTTAGGTGTAAAGAGAGGAAGAGAAATAATGTTTTTGTTTAGTTGAGTTAGAATAAGTTAGGATCTATTACTTTCAATGTGAAAAGAGTGTTGCTTATATAGAATACTTTACTTGTTTTCCAAGATGGTTTTATGGAGTTTGGATGCTCAAGGCTTCCCTTATCATTGTTCAAGGTGGAGGACCACAAGGTAGTTGACCATAGAGACATGTGCTCATTGTAACCATGTATATAATAGATTACATCCCCTTTGTTAACTGTTTCTATAATTCTAGGAAGGGGAAACCAGCTGAGGTGGCAATCTGCACATGTATGCATTTACAGCTTCCACGTTTCTTTGTAAAGTTCCCTCAGCTCGGTTCCAATTGTGCTTCGGATCGGCCTTTCGTAAGATTGTTTGTAGAGATGGGCTGGCTTACCTAGCTAGCTTTATGTGGGCTTGGCCTACTTTGGTTCTAATGATGGGTTTGGCCTATTAGTTCGGTCTATGAATTAGGTCCAACAGTTCGGCCTGGCCTAGGCCTTTTCCTCTGCATGTTGAGCTCAAGTGCTTGAAGACTTATGAGGATGATTTACAGGGAGATGGGCTCACTAGATTGGTCTACGCAGTTATCTGGCCCATATTTGGGTTTAGTGATTTGGACCGACTCAAGACTTGGATCCGACCCGTTTATATTTTGCCCATTCAATAATTTATTTACATTTAGCTTTATTTGCAATGAATTTCAAACAAAATTTGTTATTTGCATTTTTGTAGAGAAAGGATGAGAGTTTTTTTTTCATTTTTCTTTGTTAAAATTCCGTGTGTGGGAGGAACTTTTTCATTTTATTCAATCCAATATATTTTATTTAATCCAATATACTTCTTGATCTTTTATTTAATTTTTAGATAAATTATAAATATACTTCATAAATTTTACTTAAAATACAAAGTGTTCTTATAATTTTGAAAATTACAATTATCTTTGTTATAATTTTTTTAATCAACAAAAAAATAAGATTTATAACTACTCTCCTATATAACAATAAAATTATATAAATTGTTAATTGAAATATATTTCTGATAAAACTATTAGTTGACTTGATAATTTATTAATAAAATAAGTCAGTTGTTATGCAATTAAAAATTCAAAAGAATAGAATATAATTTTTAGAACTACAGAGGATAATTTATATTTTTAGCAAACTTAGAGGGTGTATTTATAATATAAAATATACCCTTAATTACATTTGTGAATTAAAATATGATAAATACAAATGTGATTAAAATATAAAAATAAAAATAACTAAAAACAACAAAACACAAAACACAAAAACTCTATATATATTGTTAATCGATAGGATAAATATTCATATTATCAAACAGACTTCTAGCCTATACATGACTTCACACGAGTGTTACATAATTACTAGACCAAATGACCTAAGTGCTTATAAAAATATTCACTAACGTTGTATTTGGTTGTTGTATTTGGTTGATGAATTTGAGAAGAGATTTGGAAAGGAAAAGGGAAAGGGAAAATTGGTTGGGAAATTTGAGAAGAGATTTGGAAAGAAACAGAAAAAATGTATGTGAAACTAAGTAAAATATATGTATATTTTATTCACATTTCACATATCTTTTTCATTTCCTTTTTCAAATCTATCGTCAAATCCCCTAAGCAAATACAATATAAACATAAGAAACACAAAAACTATATTTAAAAACTTAAAACTAATAGAAGGATTAGATTTACAATCCAACCGTTCATTCCAATATAGGAATAGCAAGAAAAGGAACAGCTTTCTTCAAAGACTGTTCTTCCATATCCAACTCTCCCGACCTCATCTCCTCCGGCAACTTCCAATCAAACGCCTGAACAATCGAACCGACCATCAAATGCACCATCCTCGTCGCCAACGGTATCCCGGGACAAATCCTCCGACCAGCACCAAACGGAATATACTCAAAATCCCTTCCTTTATAATCCACCCCACAATCCAAAAACCGCTCAGGCACAAACGATGTTGGATTGTCCCAGTACTCGGGGTCTCTCCCAATACCCCACGCATTGACGAGGACTTGGGTGTCTTTGGGGATGGTGAAG